TTTTTGGAAAAACTGTCTACTGAAAGAAGTCTGCAGTTCGCCCTGAAATCCCCTTTTTAAAACGTGAAACTTTCTATTTTCTCTGGAGACGAAAGCTCCCTGGGAAAGCCAGTCCCTTCAGGCTCTTCCTTTCCAATTTATTTTAAAGACACTGAGGAAACTCTCTATGTCTGCAGGCTTGCGATGCGGTGATGGTAGTAATGGTAGTAATGGGAGTAATGGGAGTGATGGGAGTGATGGGAGTGGGTAACCCGGCCCGGCTCCTTCCACTGTGCCGCCTCACATCCCCTTGAAACTAATTGCTCCACATTAAAAAGGGATGGAGCTGAAAGGAAGATCAGAGGCGTGTCACGGGTTAAAATCACAACACGGTGTACGTTCGCCTTCCAGGGGAGGAGAGGGGGGAACAGGATTCCTGATCCTGAAACATATTTGTGGGGAACGCCGGCGCGAGATGGACGGCTCAGCGAGGAAGAGCTGGAGTTGACTCGTTTTTGACTTCTGTGATCTCTGCCAGCAGCGGGTCAACATGGACTTGATACGTGGATCCACTAAGACCAGTCGGAAAATACAGCCTCAAAGGAGTTACTCATTAACTTTGAGAACAGTTGAGACCAAATGTAATATTTATTTACCTGACATGAAGAATGGCAACACTTACTGCCTGAACATTTAACTAGTAAATACACATGGTTTAGTTTTCACAGGAACACACAAGCATGCGGTTATATTTGTGAGGTCGCTTTACATAAAAGTCCTCCATGTAAGTTTAAATAAGAGCACTAGAATCTGTAGAACTTATCATAAGGAAGACATTTGTGTCCCCTCTGGAGGAGACGGCGGCGTCGGTCTACATCTCAGCGATGACCGGTAGTCTCGGCGCCTTGAACCTCCTCGGCTGTCTGCATGCGGCGCGGCGGACGGACACCACAACGCGGAGGCCCGTCTGTCCCTCGGCGCGTCTGTCCGCCGAGAACGAGGCTTCCGTCTCCGCGTCCCGAACCCGTCCGCCCCCGGGTTCCTTCGGGCCAACGGCGCCACGTTCCGAGGCCCGATTCCCATCTGACCCGGAGGCGGGGGGTCGACGCGAGGGGTCCGGCCCCCATGCCATCTTCGTCCCCTCCTCCGTCCATCCTCTGCGAGCGAGCCGGGCCGCCGTGAGGACGGAGTCCGCCTGGTGGTGCCACTTGTCCAGGGGGCCCGAGGAGAGCAGAGGCCCCGGCGCAGCCGATGTCCTCGCGGGCGGGAGGCGCAGGCTCTGACCCGCCGCTGCCTTCCATCCCCCCCCCCCCCCCCCCTCGATGTCCCGAGTCCCCGCGACGCCTGGTGGCACTAAGGCACCTGCAAGTCAACGCATTACATTAGAGAAGGTTAAAGGAGATCAGGAGAGTGTCGGAGTCCGTCCCGGTTCATTCTGTGGGACGTGAACGCTGCAGCCGGGACGGTCCCTGTGGTTTCATCAGTTCTCCAGTAGGGGGAGACCGAGGTCCCGTTAAAGAATCCTTCAAAACAAACCAAAACGTTCAGCATTTAAGCACCAATGCCGGGAAAGGTCTTTTTCCTCCTTTTTAAATCTGCGTTTGGACTAAATGAACCAACCGGGGCCAAACGGGCCTGGGCTCGAAATGTAGACAAGAATCCTTCAGTTGTGGAGACGAACTTCAGGTGCCTTCTGCAGAGGAGCTGAAAGAAGATTATTCAAATTCTGTAGCGTGCCGTCATTTCCAAAACCTACACTTATTCGCCTGCGATTTAAGGGAGGAAAAAAAAGAAAAATAATCGTGTTTGAATTATTCCCTCGGAGATAAAATCATATATTCACAATATTTTCTATGCAGTATTTTCAGACAGTGGAGGAAATATTTCTGACCTTTAACTGATTAAAGCTTTTAGTAACTCCTTGAAACGGAGTCTCACCATCAAGTCCCGATTATAAGCTCAGCCAAGCAAGTGAAACAGGACATTGCAGTCAGAGATGATGCTACCCATCATGTTTAACTCGTCCGTCCGTGTACATGCAAAGATTTCTCTAAATGCACACATCAAACAGGCAAATAGCCTCGTTCTATCTGCATATCTACATTTCATTATTCACACAAATATCATCTAACTGCAAATTCAAGCCGTACCGGATTTGAGTGGGAGATCCTTGTTCCAGTGGTCTTCTTCTGTCCTCTCTGACTCACCACTGCTCTGTGTCTCTCTCCCCCCCCTCTCTCTCTCCATTTAAGAGGACACTTACTGGGGCAAAGTTCAGTAGTTGTTAGTGTCGACCTTTTCGGTGGAGGTCGGTAATGAAATGAAATGAAGAGAAACGGGTTATGTAACAGTGGAAACCTCTTCTTTTTATGCATTTCACACTGATCCACCGGCCAGCACGGACGCACACATTTAGACTACGTGGTGAAGAAAGTGGCACATTTAGCCAACATTTCCGCCTTTACAATGTCCTGTCATTGTGCAAATGGAATACTGACCATCTAAATGTTTTCAGTGAAGACCTTTTTAGCTTTGAGCTTCTTCTAGAGGAACAAAAAAAATTCAAATTTAGTTTAAGCAGAAGCATAATTAGTTGCCAGTGAAAACGGTCCCTCGTGTTGTGAAAAAAAAAGAAAAAAGAGCTGTTTGCTCTGATCGGACATTTCGCTCTTTGGTCGTCACCTCCTGAGTTCAGTTGGTTCATGTGCTGTGGACAAAGCAGGATCGCTCTGTGCTGCGGCCACGTGTTCAACAGCCAGAGATCATCGCCTGTATGTGTGGTCCAATATATATATGCGCTGGGCATCGTGTCACCAACTTGTCACGATTTATATTCTTGTAACTAAAAGTTTCCCTCAGTGACGAAAGAAGATCTCAAAAGTCTCCCTTTTTAGTCATTTTGCTCCCCGATGGTGCGTTTATGACACCGGTAAAGTTTTCCACTTGTTCTGGATCCGTTAACATCTGACCCTGCAAACTGTGCTAAGCTTAGTCTGCTAACATGACAAATGCAGGATTTCGGCCTCTGCAGCATCGCTGCGGTTTACAAAAAACCTTATTTGAAGTTATAATAAATAGGGCTGTTGAATATGTATATATATATATAATTTAATTTGACTTATCACTGTTATTATTACGTTTAATATCACTGCTACACACCTGTTGTTCTTACTGTTTTTCCAGTTACAGTCTTTTGGTCTAAGCCCTTGTTTGAAGGTGTATTAAATAACGATAGTCCTTATAATATTAAAAAAGTGTTCCGTCTCCCATTAACTGTTGTATCATTCTGTTAAAACGCGTGATCCTCAGCCTCCAAAAGCTTCTGTTCACGTGTTGACAAGCTGCTCCATCAATAGAGCTTCCTGAATAAAACGTGTGCAGGGGCACGTGGAGGGAATCGCGTTAAAGTCGGGGGCCGTTCACTCGGCCTCACGCTGCCTCCTCGGGGGCCATCGATCTGGATCAAAGGTGGAGGGGAAGCTGCTGAATGCAAACTCTTATCACCAAAACAGTGTAACACTCTATCAGCTGGCTGGTTCAAGTCGTCGCCTCCCGCGTCGTTCGATATCCGCACCGGAGCCCCTCTTTGAAGCGCGTGTGCACAGAGGCCGTCTGGCGATCCGACCACGTTGTCCCGCTCGCCGCGGTGGCCCCCGCTGGACTCCACCTGAACCCGGTCCGGGGATCAGTGACACGCGTCCTATTGGATGCACATCGGAAACCGCAAACAAAAGGTGAAAAGCTTCAGACGACTATGAAAACATTCCAAAGACAAGATGGCATCTGTCTGGATGCCGAGGTCTGAGGGTTAAAAGGGAAGTCCAGTGACCAGCGGGTGACGCCGCCGCGCCTCGGCAGCACGCACACCGAGACGAGAAGGAGCGAGTGTCACCTGGCTAGTGGTGCCTCAATGCTGCACTGGTCACTGGACAAAGTTGTCCCTCGCCACCCCTGTTTCGGTTTCCACACCTCCCGTAGGTCAATGGTCACCGCGCTGCGGCGAATGACATTGTATTCTGTGGTTCCAGGTGACCTTTGACTTACACCGAGGCCGCCGGCGCTCTTTGTCATCGGAACAAGAACGCAGGGTGTGGCGTGCGTTCTCAGAGTTTTTGCTTCATGACTTCATGATCTTTTTTTTTCTTTGTCACGTTTCATTTTCCGGGGGAAGGAATGAGGCAACAATCTCACAGATCTCACTTGGCTCCACATGACGTCCTTTCCATGACGTCTGCTGTTCAGCCTCTTTAAGAAGTTTTTTTTTTTTTTTTCACGGTAACTGTTCAGACATGGGAGGTTATTTTTATTTTTGTTTATTCCCGCACGCTCCTCATAGAGGAGAACAAACAGGAAATCATCCGGGCCAAAAACCCCAGGTTGTGACTTTCACCTGCGACATTACTTACATGACGGTGGAATAAAAGACAAAATACAAAAGTAGTTTGTCGTATGATATCTAGGACGGGGGCCTGGGGTGAATTTGAATCCCGAGACCTTAACCGGGAAATGTCTGGGTCGATTAAACTAAACCAAAAAGAAAACACAAGAATCAATCTCTTCTTCACACCTTTTTTGTTTTGGACGCGAACAGGCACGTCGTCGCAAGCGAGGAACGCCACGATGTCAGCGGTAACTCCGGGATCACGCAAACACCCCAAGACCAAGATGGCGACTCCACCGATGCCGAAATCAAGTCAAATTAAAACTGAAGCCCGTTCTTCCGGCGAACAATGTGACTCATCATCTGCTAGGTTCACATCTACATAGCAATTAATCTCATTTGGCTAATGCCTCCGCATCATCAGCAGAGGCAAAAGAACGCCTCCTGACCCCAATTATGAGCAGGAAATACAGAGAGAACCTGCCAGGTGGGGATTGCTCTCCTGCCTGACTTCAGTGAGCGCTGTCTAATTATATTTGAATAGCTTGTTGTCCTTTGATTGGCAGGCTGACCTCCTGTAATCACAGCAAGCTGATGTCAGCGCCACACCCGCTCTGCTTGTTTAAATAAATAATAGAGAAGTTGAGACAGCGCAGGACGGACCGGTCCGTCCGGTTTGTTCTCCCGGTTTCTGTTGTCTGCAGGTATTTGAGAGCCGGCGGAGGGAAGTCGGCACCACAGTGAACGTCTCAGCCGTGACAGGACGTCGGACTCGGAGCTTTCTAACTAAACAGGTGAGGTGTTAACTCAGCTTTCTATGACCGCACCTTCATCACACTAGACAACTACCGGTCCGTACCAGTGTCTGATGTTTACTTGATACTTAATATTGTGTCCAGAGTTTAGCATTTGATTTCAAGAGTTATCCTCCTAATTTCTCCAAGAATTAGTTGTCATTGGACTTCCTCCTAGAAGAACCTCCTAAATCTGTAAAAACCAAAACAAGGTCAAAATATTAAATTCCTCTTCTGTCGGTTTCGGTGACGGCATGAATTGCCACTTTGCTTGTTGCGTATACATTCGACGTCAGTAAACTACATGCTGGTTTGCCCCTTTTTAGTAGCAGCGATGGCTTCCAAGATGGTGATCCGGCAGCCTCAGCCTGTGATGGTCACCCAGGACTCTGATGAGTGGGGATCCGGGATATGCGACTGCACTCAAGACATGTCAGAGTGTAAGTTTCATGATCAAACAGATGCTGGATGGTGATCATCTCATAAAGCCTTTTGATTTTTTTTCTCTATTATGCACTGATAGTATCACTTCTAATACACTTTTTTACTCTTATAATGTATGAGTAATATTTTTTTCCTATTTTAGGTTAATTAATTACCATACTTGTTGCTTATATAGTTGTTGTTATTCTATTGTTTTTCTTCTGCTCATATCTTTGATCAAACTCAAGAACATCCCTAGATAGGATCTTGTCTTCGTGAACATATCGCATCAAGCGGATTCAATCTGTAACCTGTAACAACAAAAGTCACTCCGTCACTCTCTGACTCACCGCTGACATCAGCTGATCCATTGGCTTCCTCATTCACCTGAGTTCCATTCATCCTCAGGTTGTTTTGCTTTCTGGTGCCTTCCCTGCTTCGCCTGTTCAACCAGCAAGAAATACGGGCAGTGCCTCTGTCTCCCCCTGCTGGACGTCTTCAGCGGCCTCATCTCTCCGGTCACCATGTCCATGAGGGTCTCCATGCGGGAGCGCTACGGCATCAAGGTCGGGAAATGTGACCCCATAAATGTTTGAAATGCATATTGAATACATGGGGTCCAATAACGGAGTGTTTCCAGGGGCCCCGACCCACCTTAAAGGGTTACAAAGGAAAGAACGCTTCACTGGAATAAAAATATCATAGAATTTGACTAACTGTCTGCCTTCTGTATTCTTCCTGCAGGATACCATCTGCAGAGACTGTGTGTACTCCACCTTCTGTGTTCCCTGCAGCTGGTGTCAGATGTCCAGAGAGATGAGGAGAAGAAAAATCCCCATCGTGCTGATCAGCTCAAAGACCACATGACCTGTCTCCTGTCTCCTAACCGCAACCGAGGCTGCCGCTTAAATGAATACACTGCCACCTGCTTTGACTGTAGCTCTTCATACCTCTGGACTGAAGACCTTTGGGGGAGAATAATGGTCAACAAAAGCTAAAAGAGACTGAAAAGTATGTGCGCAAATGTGTTGACAGTAACTCTCTGATGACGTCCTAATTACCTACCAGCCTCTGTTATTACGTCCTTCCAACTGAGAATAAAAATCAGGAAAAGCATGTTAAATAGTAACTGTTTTGTACTCAGCTAGTTATTGGGGTACAATTATTAACCGAAATGTATGAAATGAAAATAAATCCATTTATCCGATCACTTCTCGCACCGATGTAATGCCTCACTCAGCCCGCAGAGGGCGCCACACCTCCCCGATGAGGAGTGTGCGGTCGCAGCGCATCCGGGCCCCTGATGCGCAGCATCTTGAGCGACGTGTCCCACCTCTCTGGTCCCTGTCCACCAGGCAGGAGGACAACACAACACACAACACCTTTCAGCTAGGGGCGCTTTCCTGCACGCGGTGCGTTTGGGGTCTTCGAAAGGTCCCCTCGCGGCGGTGAGGGACCCTCGCTTCCATTCGAGGTGACACTCCCTCCTAAGTGGCACTCAGCGGCTTCGTGCGGGTTATGATTTAGTGCTGACGCGGTTTCCTGGAAGGAACGATGCAATTTCCACAGAGAAAAATAGCGAGGAAGCGGTTTCCAGTGAATGACATAGTTTTATCTACAATTGATGACACATGAGATTGCGTTATTACTTATTTCCTGTAAACAAATCTGTGCCAGTTAATTCCCTTTTCACACATTTTGATTGTTTTGATGCCATAATTATTTCGTCCAACCTGTCAATCATTAGCTGAGTGTCGAGGAAAGAGTTGAACCGCGTCTTAACCAAAAACAACAGGATACTTCTCTGCGGGGCTGTTGAATTAGATTCATTAGGTGTTTCTGTTCATTTGTCCACCGTGTGTATGATGGCTAAATGCTAGACTTGATGCAAGAAGAACACGCCGGGACAAAGTTAATTTTAAAAATACTACTTTCTAAATCAATATTTTGAATTTAATATACTTTTTTAAAAGAGTATTTAAAAATATTGATTTACTTATTTTTTTCTCATAATTTCTATAAGACGTTTTTATCTAATGTTCTTTTCCTTCCCGGCATCACACTGCCAGCGTCGCCATAACTGCTAATGCTAATATTCGAATTTGCAATCACATGATAATTTTCCAACTCTTTTTTTTTTTTTTTTTGCCTATTTGGTTTGGTTTTAAAATTAGCATGAGAACTTCAGCCACCAAATAGAAATATCGACAAAGTTAACAAGTTGCCGGAAAAAAAACCTGCTGGAGTCACTATCATGTCATATTTTGTCAAATTACTCCCAATAAACTTTCCCATTAGTGCAGCTTGCGTTCCGGCGGGGGCGATCCCTCCCCTCTGCTGGCACACTCGGCCCGGTGTTCACTGTAAATTGCTCAGTGGGTTGTTTTAAATAGGATTATAATGACAGTTATAGTTTGCAAGAATTGATGTTTGTGACTTTAACGAGGTGTGAGTGAGGGGGCGGGGCCAGGCGGCTCATAAAGCCTGCAGGAATGTTAATTGGTCGAGGCCGCTGCTGCCCTTCTTTGTTCTGCTCGCTCATAGTGGGCTTCTGTTGCGCCCGTTAAAGGCCAAAGAACTGATTTAAAATCTGTGACTTTAACCCTGCGACATCCCCCACGCACACATATGTACCTTACTTATACACCCTGAACACCCCCCCCTCCCCATTCATTCCCAGGTTACCCTTCCCTCTCCTGAGGAAAATGGACCCCTTTGCTTCTCTCATTACCTCCGTGTTGCTTAATCAGGTGGTTGACACCCCCCGCTGGGCTTGATCCAGTGTTGGGGGAGTAATTTTATCAGGTTCTTTTTGTTTTTACACGTGCAGCCAGATGACTCGGTGCTCAGGGACTTTCTTTGACGGCCCAAATGGGATTAGTGTGGTTTTATTTATTGTTTGGACACAGAAGAAAGCCATTTCTATTGTTTTGGTATCCACATGTCGTACACACGTCTGATTAATCAATTCATCAAGGCTTACTGTTGGATTTCAGTAGTCTTGCCTGACTGCTAACGTAGCAGCATCTTCAGTTCCAAAGTTGATGACGACTCCCACCGTCCCGGGACGGGGAGCTCTGTCTGGATGGGGTCCGGGGGGGTAAACCAATGTCTAGTGGATCACTTCCATAGTTATAATCAACCCAAGCCACAACCTTGGTAAACAAAATTGCGTCCTGTGAAGACGGATGGTTAATTTTGAAAGGACTTCTGGAATTTATTGGGGAAAATGCATCGATTGTATCTCAAGTAAATCATCTTAAACCTGCACCTTTCAGAAATAATCCACGTGAGATTGTCGAAAAGTGAAAAAGGATGAACCTTGATTATCTCAGCGAGTGACTCCTGAGATGCACTTCAGGGGTCACGCGATGGATTTGAACCTGGCGTACGTGCAATCAGCCTGTCACCCCGTCTGTCCCGAGGTCTCCGCCCCAATGACGGATGGAGACGCCGTCTATCTGTCCATAATTTCCAGGGGGAAGTGTTCCTTTTAGAAGGACACGGCCCGGAGCTGCCCGGGGAGCGGGCTGATAACGCCTCGGGTCGAGATGAGGCGGGAAGGCGTAGTCCGACGCGCGCTATCAGACGCCCCGAGGCCTCCGAGCAAACAAACAGCTCCGACCTCTCAAAACAACGGCAGCAGGGAGCAGCTGATAGCGGGAGACGGATAGGTGGAGGTCGCTGATGTTGCAGCGCCCGCGCACGTGTGTGTGTGTGTGTGCGCAGGGGAGGCAGAGGGCCGGGGCAAAAGGGCATGCGGGGCAAGAATTATCTGATCCCTCCCGTGTTGTGTGTGTGTGTGTGTGTGTGTGTGCATGTTGGGGAGTAGTAGTTTACTTTAGTTTGTGTCTTTTAAGAGACCTAAAATGATTCCTCCCTGGTTTCAGTCAGTGGAGACTTTTTGTGCTCTGAAAGGTCCCTGTGGGGGACGGAGACATTTTGTCACATCCATCCATTATTGTAGATTCATCCAGGAGTTTATGACAGTAACAGAGAGTCGAATCACTGCTCAGGTGGTGAAGGACGAGTGAGGAAACATGATGGCAAATTCCCATCATTTGTATGTGACACTGCAAGCGAAGATGCATGAAACGATACAAACGTGTGCGTAGCGGTTTGTGCCGTGACACACACAGACAGATGAGAGAGGAGAGGGATGGAGGGGGTGAGGGGGGGGAGGGTGGCAGCGGAGGAGAGGTGAGCAAGGGGGAGGCAGGGTCAACAAATTCTTTGATTGCTGAACCTTGTCATTCAGATAGCAGAAGGCTGGGGCGCTCGGCGTGCGGCAACGACGGCGTCCCCACATCCCCCCCCCCGCGGGCCGTCCCGCCGCCACGTCACATGCTTCAGTCTCATTAGACCCAAGTTGATATTAATAAATTAAGACTCATGAAGATTGTTGTGCAATTTTCTGCTGTTTTATAAATGAATTAACACTGTCAAATATCTTCATATATATACTGTATATATAATATATATATTATTGCTAAACACCACTGTAATAAGTGTAAATGTGCAACGTTGCCGTTGGCCTCTGGCCTGGTTTCACTGACCTCCTCGTCCACCGGTGGGCAGCACTGGGACTGAAGCTCACGCCAGGCTTCCTGTGAAGAGGATCTCCACGTTGTTAGGCGTGATATACGGCCGCTGGAAACCAACCCCTGAGTGCATCTCAAGGTTCATTGAAAGGGTGAATAAGATCTATAACTCTTGAGTGGATGTCGTCGGACCCGACGGCGACCTCACGGACGTGAAGTGGCCTAAAACGACCACTTAAAGGGTTCGTTCGCTTATTTTTTAAATCCCAGCTGCTGTTATTTGTCGCACATTTCTGATGCTCAAGATGTCAAACTAACAATACGATGCAAAAAAGGTGTCGTCAGTGGACTCAAACCGACGACAGCACAGAGAGTTTTAAACATCGCAAAGAGATTCCGCGTCGAATCTGTCACACGAGTAAATGATGTCATACTCGGGTTTGTGTCATTGTCAAACGCCTTTTGATTTGTGGTATTCTTCTACCTTCATAATCATAATTCAAATTGTAGTTTCTTCTTAATCCTCCGTTGTATTCTCTGGTCAATCCTTCAGGATTAATAAAGTTTATATCATACGTCTCTATTTTTCTTTAATTGCGTCACTTCCTGTGGGCGGAGACGCCAAAGCTAACGAGGCAAAAGCTACAGCGCTACAAAGAGAGCTTGTCCCTGTTGCAGCTTATTGGGTGTATTTTTTTTCTCCCTGAACCACAACACCACTAACTACTCTGACCCCCCCCCTCCTCCTCCTCCTCCAGCCCCCCCAAACCTAGACTCGTTGTCACCGTGGTGATTGGTAGACTAAACAACGGGCAATATTCACCAGATCCACATCCCATTGGATCATTACAAACATTAAGTCGATACAAAGAGGCAACAAAAGTCGTGACCCCGCCCATTCGTCCCCCCGGCCTCCTCACACTCTCTATTTTAAGTGCACGCGGTCACATGGACGGTCACACACACACACACACACACACACAGACTGAAGCATATATTCTTAACATTCTTCGGCCGGTAAACACACGGGCCGGACAGATGCATCACTCCCGGCAGACAGACGGATTCTGAGGGCTGGGAATGTTTACACGGTCCTGTCGCCCTCTGAGGCCTCCTCCGGAGAGAGCAGAGCAACACTGGGGAGGCTGTGTTCATCAAGTCATACCGCGTCTGATAAGGGACGACGAGCAACCGCTCCCAATTGTCTTAACGACAAAAGGAAAGAAAAAAAAAAAATCGCATTTGAAATCATAAATTCACAATGGGCCACAAAGGGCTTTGAGACGAATGCAACCCATTGGCCCAAAGTCGTATATTCCTACCAAAAACGCGTCATTGTGTGTGCCGGTGATTCCGTTAGCCGTTAGCCAAACACACCGACCCACGCGATAAAAAGTCCGCAAGCTTTCTTCCGTACCCGCAGAGCAGCACTAGAGTTATTCCTAGAGGCCTCCGTGGACCGGGGGGCCCGTTTGAGAGCAGCGAGGGAGGAACCACCAGAGGCCTTTGACCGAGCAAATAACACATTTTGAGGCGAGGCCGGCGGCGGTGTTTCAGGGGCCTGTGAAGCAGAAGTGAAGCTGACTCATTGTGTGTCACGGCGAAAGAATGGGTTGGCGTCGCGGGGCCCCGAATGAGAAGCAGCCGGCAGACATGGCGGAGTCCCCCG